TCGTGGTGGTGTTGGTTTTAGCACAACACCGACAGAAAGTGACTTTCACTTAGACAAGCCTTAAGTCACCGGAAACATTGCACGATGACTAAGTTCTTTCTTCCCGGTTAACGCTGGAATGACGCACAATGATCTTTTCTCACTAATGCTCTGATACCATGTGAGAAGGCACGGGAGAAAATATGTTATTGATATTGGATTATAAATACAATACAGGAGGTCCCTATTTATAGCTATACACTATAAGGAGAGATTACTCCTCTTCCAATGTGGGACAAGACTACACTATACATATTTGTAAACTAACACTTTTCACTTCAGAGTCTCAAACTTGAAAGGATATGGCTCGGTATAGGTCTCATCTGTTGATTTCCTTCATGCCAGCAGGATGTCGGTAATTTGCCCTTGAATCTACTATTGGGCTCAAGTTAAAACTTCAAATCGTCCCACTCCTGATGCTAGTTTCTTAAAGATATGGGGGTTGTACTCTCATTTCTGGTTTACAAATAGAGACTTAAAAGAAATCATTAATTAAAATATAAGGATCTCCCTTAACTTGGACTGAGAAAAAGGGTAAGAGCACGATGTATTGATTTTCGTGCATAGCATAGAACAGAAAGTTGAGAACTTTCTACACACACACGCATATAAAACTAACATTGCCGCCCTAGAAGCATTTGTTCCACCATATCAAATTGTTTGTTGATTTGCTGCATTGATGGCTACCATGAACAAAAACCATTCCAAGATAATCCTAAGTGTCACGCCGATTAAAAATAATAATTATCACTCATATCAACATTAATAAAGCAATGAGATAATAGCACAATTAGGTCGAAAGGGCTATGAGTTTAGTTCAGATCAAGTGCAATCAATGAAACCAAACATCGATGCAAAGTATATCAACCTCTATGTAAATTTTCATTCCGGAAACTTTTTACACCCACTTCTATTCCAAAAACAACACTGAGGTAATTCTACTTTCATAGAGTTATAATGAAAGTTCTTACACCCTCTGGATTCTATTTAAGTGACCGCTATCACTTATCCGAAGAGAGAGATCCAAACCAGAGTTTTTTAGTTTCACGATCACGGTTTTAGCGCACATGTTGTGGGATGTTCCAAGCCCTGCATCTACTGATTTTGACATTCCTCTGTTCGAGTAGAAGGCACTAGCTCTAATGAAAATTGACCTTTCGGCCATTTTCTGCTTGTTAATATCCTAGCTGTAGCCAAGGCAGGTTGCCATAAAGCCTATAATGACAATAATAATTTCTCTAAGGGCATACTGCAAGCTAAATGCATTTGTTTAAAATGCCAAATATAATGGAGGAGTATATTATTTCAGTCTGGTTATTCTTTCTGTTGACTTGCCTGTTTGACTTGTTTGGATACTCACCTCTATAAATGTGCCTAGGCCATATTGTGTGCAGGTCTTTATCCCAATGTATCTGCCAGAGAAGAAGGCATTGCTACAACTGCTCTTGGGAACCTAAAACAAAGTGCAGGTCTTTCAGCAAAGAGTAACCCTGCATGGTATGATGGAAGACGCGAAGTTCACATTCACCCTTCGTCAATCAACTCTAACTTAAAAGATTTTCAGTACCCATTTATCGTCTTTCTTGAAAAGGTTTGCATTTTCTTAATCTTTTACTCTGGAAAGCTAACATTCAAGATTTGATCTCTCTGACCTTATCTTTGAATGGCCTCCATGCTTACAACAACTTTTGCTTCTTTTAATCACTTTAGGCTAGGAATGGGTGGAGAAAGGAAATTTTAGGTGCCTTTTCTTTATGAAGTTGGTTGTTTTCATGGAATCCTTATAATAATGTGTAAGTGAATCCTGAAAGATCGTAATGCCAAATTCTATCAAGACATCAGAAAGCTGTTATAAGATGATGGAATCTTTAACAGTTACACTGTTATTTCAACATCTCTATTAATAAGATGATAAAATATTGTAGATTCAAGAGATGATACCCTTTTGAACTATAGAGATTAAATTGGAGCATTGTATATGAAATGCAAGATTACAACTTTGCAGCATGGAAAAGAATCTTTTTCAACAAATTATGCTCCCAAAACTGAAAAAGAGAATCTTAAAGAGGCAAGATGAAGTAGATCATTCACAGAATTTGAATAAGCTATCTTCTGTAGTATTTATTAGATGATACATTAGATAATCATATTCTCTTTAAGTAATGGACATTCTATAAAGCAACTCTGCTTATTAAGCAATTCAACAATTCATCACTAAGTATAAGTATGGACTCCAGAGTCCAGTGAAGTTAATGATGACTGGAGAGTATGCTGAAGCTTTAGGACAGTCATGGGAAATAATCTACTTGAAGATGCTAGAAGAATCATTTTGAGAATTTTGCTAACGCCTTTTAAAAGTGGAAGCCAAGTTTGGACTACATTTCTATAGATAAGTCAAATAATGCGTAATGTTTGTGTTTACCTTTTCACACTGCATCATAACCTAGGAGAATAATTCTTTCAGGATCTAATTGCTGAGATTTAGAAGAACAAGGTTTTGTTGTTAGCATAACTTATATATGTGTGGTTAGTTCTGGCTCGTGAAGAATTTGAGCATCCTATAAAAACTTTCAAGCTAATGGGTTGAGTGCCCCAAGACCTGTATAATCCCTTTTTGAAGTCCTAACACAATCTATCCGTGAAACTACATTACTCAACACTCTCTTGCACCAGTAACCCGACTTTTGGGGTTCACACAGATTTTAATGACTGTTTATGAGTATGAGGAATCAGTTTACCAAAGGTTGGCTCCTATACCATGTGAAAGAATCTAAGCATCTATTCCAAAACATTAACATAATGGGCGGTGTAGCCCAAGATCTTTATTTATTTATTTATTTTTTTATTCCCTCCCTCCAAGAGCTCCCCACCTTGCTCTTGGGGTGACTCGAACTCACAACCTATTGGTTGAAAGTGGAGGGTGCTCACCACTAGAGCAACCCACTCTTGTCGCCCAAGATCTTTATTAAACCCCTTTAAAAGATCTTACACAACCCATGTAGTATGATTAACGCAAAAAGGATCAACCTTGTCATTCTAACATATTTGAGCAATAAATAAAGGTTGCATTGGAAAAGATCTCTTAAGTCCCATGGAAATGCACTTTGACAAACAAGCACTACTTTAAGGACTCCAGAATTCTAAGAATGGAGCTGGTACTTCCTATGTTCATCCATTTACGTAAATATTGTTTTATTTAGTAATCGTGGGCTGAAACCTTTTTGAGTCCATGGTGGAAGAATATCTAAGAGTTCAACTTGGGTAAAAATGTGTGCTTTTTCTCTTTGTGAATCCATAGCAAACATATTCAAACTGTTCATCTCAACTATTTGACTCATTTTTGAGTTTCAAAATGTTTTAAAAAGAACAAGGGCAGCCCGATGCATTAAGCATACCCGCGTTCACGCAGGGTCCGGGGAAGGGTTGCACCCCAAAGGGTGTGATGTGGACAACCTACCTAATGCAAGCTTAGTGGCTGCTTCCACGGCTCGAACGTGAGACAACTTTACCGTTGCTTCAAGGCTCCCTTTTGAGTTTCAAAATTATCGATTGATTTTTTTATATAATCAATTTTTGTTTCTTCATATATTTTGTTGAAGCATTTTTAAGATATAATTCTTATGTATGCTACAATTTCAGGTAGAGACTAACAAGGTATTTTTGCGAGACACCACCGTTATCTCTCCTTATACTATACTTCTTTTTGGTGGCCCAATAAACATTCAGCACCAGGTATCTTCTGTTTATGGTCATGCTTACCCTGCTTTTTCTTTTCCATAACTTGATAAGCTCTTGTTTCTTATTTCTCAAGGAATAGTAGGTGTCAATTTCATTTTTCAATTTTTGTCAAAACTTTGTTGCTTGAACTTTGACATTGTACACATGAGCATTGTCTATCTTATGCTGTCTAGTGACGGAGGGTCAAGAGACTTACCTGCGAAAGTATGAAAATTGAAAAGAAACGGAACAAGAAGGGAGAAACGTTGAGTGAAACTATGATTTGCTTTTTCCTGTTTAGCATGGAAGATTGAGCATTGCGCTAACAAACTTGCTATATTGTACTCTTCTGTACACCCTCCTTTATGTTGGTTTGCTCTCCATGTTTTTCAATTAAGTAGGGTAATGCCTATTTTAACCCTTATCCCCCCTAAAAGGAAGAAAATGAAGTGGAGAATGGAGAAAAGTAAAGCAGGCACAATCACTCTCAAAGCAAACAAGATATGTTTTTTGTATTTGTTTAAGAGAATTGGGAGCAGTTTCCTACCGTGGAAACTGGTATCAAGTGCTAATTTTAGTAAGTAGCGTGCTTTCTCTGAGTCCTTTGGGGGACATCGATAAAAATGGGAAGGTGGCCTACTTTCTCTGAAGAGCTTTCCTTTTGGCTGAAGGCAATGATTCTGTGGAAAACTAAATCAGCTTTTACCCAGGGTCCGGAATGGACCCAGATGTTAGCAAGATCTTACCAATTCAGTTCTTAATTTATTGCAGTTATATGCAGCAGGGAAAAAAAAGTTAGACCAATTTTCATATGTTTCTACATTATTTATTTGCCATAAACTTGTAACAATTTGTGCTTTTTGAGGAATATTTTCTTGTTGTTGGGTCCTAGTCATGTCTTTCCCCCTGTTTCTATAGGATTTTTGACCTTCTAGCAGCATTTCGTTTTCCAAAAAGAACATGTCTACATATCTCATCACTCAAGGATAGGGAATTGTGGATGGAGAAAGAAATTATATGGTTCTCTTTATGAACCCTGGCTTAAGGAACTCTATCTGCCCCCTCCTGATTTCATCTTTTTTCCTCACTAATTGTGTGTAATTGATCTGTTCCAGACTGGAAGAGTTACCATAGATGGATGGTTAGAAGTTGCAGCACCAGCACAAACAGCTGTTCTATTTAAGGAACTCCGGCTAACTCTTCATGATATTCTCAAGGAGCTTATTCGTAATCCTCAGGTAGATTTTTTATCTCGTGCAAACTGATAGTTCTGTTTCAGTACTAGCATTTACTGTTACTTTCTGGTAGAATTCACCTAATTATTGATGAATAAGTCAGGAACACAAGCTGATACCTTCATACTTGTGGGCATTGCCTTTATAAAAGTATGAGAAACAGATACTTTATTGCATTAGTTCTGATTTTTCGATGCACCAACTCAGATCATTTTAACTAATCCAAAGAGATATAGTTGATGTACGTTGCATCTTTCCACCATAACTTAATGAGACCTATGGTGTTCGTACTTTCTAAAAAAGTTGCTGCACCTTTGTTGGATCCTCCAAGCATGTACTACTTTTGGAGGATCCGAACGCACCCGGTGGCATTTTTGAAGAGTCTGAGCAGCATATAATGAGACATGGAATACTTTTCAAATTTTTATCTCACTGCCAGCAGACATGGAACCTCAAAGAGAGATTTCTTGATGGTCTTCCTCCCCCCTCCCCCGCAAAATATGTAAAAAAAATAAATTCCAAATCACTACCCTGTTGAGGGAATGGTGTGCTTGCCTTTTGGCACTTGATCTGCTCCTTTTGGGCCATCCCTACAAATATTGTTAGTATGTCCTCTATCCATATTTCTCTCCAGAATGTTCTCAATCATTGACGTTTGCTAGGACACTCCATGTGTTTTGGCTATTCGTAAAGTAAAAAGAAAGCGTTAGATGTTCCTATCCAATGTCCTCTCTATAATGTGCTCTATCACTGAGATTTGCTAGGACTCCACTTTCGTTGGCTATTCCCTCTTGAAGGTAAAATTTCAAGCACATGCTTCTTTTCCCTTCCAACAAAGAGAAAGTTCTGCACAACCTTCCTCCTTGACCTCGAAGGGCTTCCCCTTGTATTAGAGGCAAGATCTTTCTCACCACTATGGATAATCATTGGATCAAGATTGTAAACAACTTGTCGAGGCACAGGGAGTCTTTTCATTGTTTTAGATTATTGGCATTTGTTTGCATATCATTTTCTTTTGTGCCAAGAAATTTCTTTTCTTTAGGTAGACATTGCTATATAGCTGCTATAATGTGCTTTTAGGGTTTGTGTTCATATTTTGTTTTTTTCAAACTTTCAACCCTTTAAACCTTGTTTTGGATTGATGAATTCTTCTGACACTTCATATCTCAGGTTTCCCTGGTGACTGATAATGAAGTTCTCAGATCTATAGTCCAGTTGCTATTGGAAGAAGATAAACAAAGAAAATAACCGCTTAGCCTTGGATCGGGTGATCAATATATGCCCCTCACCTAGCAGAACACCTAGGAGCTCAACCTTTTCTACTATTAGAAAAGGAAACTTGCTGATTGATGGACTATCTGGACTCTGGTCCTGGATCAGGTGGTGGACTTTCTGGTTGCTGATCTCTCCTGGGTCAGGTGGATAAAAGGAGTGGGACATAATTTGTTCTTTGGTTAATGAATTATGAATCATCATGCATGATGGGTCCTGCTACCCACCCTGCTATGCTTTCATAATTAATATAGCATTTGACAGAAATCACAGAGATCAAATATGTATGTTTTTCCAAAAAGCTAATGAAGGAACCATGTAAACTGTATCACCAAAATGCAGCGTTTAAGGCAATTGCTGCTGCATTATTGTTTTCCTATGGTAATTGACATCTGAATTGGTGCCCAGCTTTTGTTGAGAAAGCGTTATGTCTCTTTCTTTGCAGTACCAACGGTGCCTTTAATCTACTACTAATTGAAGGAGAGAAAATCAATTTCCCTGTCACAATCTTTCGTTCCAGTAACAGCCTCTTAACTAGCCTACTATCATGTATGGACCACGTTGAAATGCTTGTCTCATTAAATTGGGTCAGTACTACCCTTCTACTTTCTCCCCCACCATCCTCTACTTTTATTTTTCTAATTTTCGTCTTTTCTTCACCAGCTTATCAAAATTTATCACGCAAACACAAGTGAGCCGTTGACAATTGTTTACTATTTTGAGGGGACAAGTCTGGATTGGTTGACTAGAGTTACCATTCTTAATCATGTTATTAAAATGGTTCTTATGTTTAATAGTCCATAGCTTTTTACACTAGCATCAGGGATTTTGCAGCTTATAACAGTCTCAAATTAATTTCGACGCAGTGTATTTGTAGATTTTTAGTAGTTGTGGACTAATTGCTTATTTGAGTCATCAAAATATATGTCCGGCGTGGCCTATGAATTAATATTCTGAGCTCTAAGATTCCTTCCAACGTGTCGATTATAGCTTGAAGAATCTGGATAGGTGGTTGCCCAGATTATTGGTGCCCGAAAAAAACGACCAAAAGAGAAATAGGAAATAGGTATAAGAGCTACGTATTTCACCACTTGCCACTGAAATGAAAAACAGTTGTTATTAGACAATCGAGGGGGCGAAAATCAGATTGTTGATGTGTCGAAAACATTCATTTCGATCTCCTATACAACAACAACAACCCAGTATAATCCCGCTAAGGGTAGTGTGTACGCAGATCTTACCCCTACCCTGGGATAGAGAGGCTGTTTCCAATAGAAACTCGGCATCCTTCCCTCCAAGAACTCCCCACCTTGCTCTTGGGGTGACTCGAAATCACAACCTCTTAGTTGGAAGTGGAGGGTGTTTACCATCAGAACAACCCACCTTGTCATTTCGATCTCCTACGAGTATCAAATTTAGCCCTTGCAAGTTTGATTCACCCAAATTATCTAAGGTTGCACTAGTTGGGTGGATATTAAAAACATTATCTAAAATGATCCATTTAAAAGTTTGAAGAAATTTGGTATATGTAAATGTGTACAGTCAAAACCGATTAAGTTAGTCGTACAGACTGGTCGAGATGATAATACTTCGATCAAAGAGTATCTGCGTGATGACAGGTCGAGGTCCGAAGTAAGGGCGTCAAGCTTCGAGCTCTAAGACCGATCAATGACAAGCTCGGTATCATTATCGAGCTCATATCCAAATTGAACTACGAGGCAAAGCGAAGATTATCGAAGATGCATAGATCGACCAACACTCACCCCGAATATCGAGACTCCAAGTCAGAATCGAGCTCGAATTAAGGCCGAGGGCTCGATCCAATACCGAGGTCGAGCCAGTATCGAGCTCACAGACAAGAGCCGTTGCAACCGCACTAGGGGAGAGAATCTTGGCAGAAATCGAGGAAAAGATAATTTATCATGGATTCTCCACTATATATTTTTTTATTATAGATAAAGTAGGATCCCTCTACTATAAATAGGGGAATCCTTGTAAGCATAAGGGGACACATTGTAACAAAGACAACTTTAGAGAGATTAACACTTTTGGGCTCATTTACTTTGCC